TTTTTTAGAGATGGAGAGAGAGAGAGGGAGTGGAGGGGCAGAGAGAGAGGGAGAGAGAGAATCCTAAGCAGGCTCCATGTTGTGGGTTCAGTCTCACAACCCTGAGATCATGACCTGAGCCAAAATCAAGAGTTGGATGCTCAACTGACTGAGCTGCCCAGGTGCCCCTAGATTTTTAAATACTTGTGTTCTCATCCTGGATATATCAAACATGAAGACAATGGTACTTACTATGGGCTAATTGAGATAGCCCATATAAAGTGCCTAGTATATAGCAGGTGTCCAATAAGTGTTGATTCTCCTCCATCCAAGCCCAGGACATCAGGCTGCCCTCCATGATACAGCTTTATTTCCATTACACAGTAGCATTCATCTCCTCCGGTGATCCTAGAATAGTGGGCCATGTCTCAGTTTGCTGAGGACATTCCTGGCTCATGCATGTTGTCCCAGCATAGTTATTAATAGCATCCCCATTCACTTTGAGCATCCAATTCTGACAAGCCATGGGATCATCCTACCTAGAACTTCTTCAGTGCCCTCCTTAGGGCATCTTTCAGTTCCTTGTTCCTTATACTGTAGATCAAGGGGTTTAGAATGGGAGTGATGAAGGTGTAGACCACGGACACCACCCGGCCCATCTCAGGAGAGTAGCCGGAACTGGGGGACAAGTATATAAAGCTGGTGCAGCCATACTGCAGAAGGACCACTAAGACGTGAGAGGAGCAGGTAGAGAAGGCTCGGTGGCGCCCTTTCGCTGACCGGATCCGTAGAATGGCTGCCATGATGAAGACGTAGGAGATGAAGATTAATGAGAGGGGGATGCTTAGGACGATGAAGCTGATGATGTACAGGGCAGTCTTGTGAACGTGTGTGTCTGCACAGGCCAGGTGTATGACTGCAGGCATGTCACAGTAGAAGTGGTAGATCTTATTGTTGTTGCAGAATGGGAGATGGAAGATTAAAATAGTCAGAGGCAGCGACAGCAGGAAACCCAGCACCAGGGACCCTACCATCAGCTCCACACACAAGGGCCAGCTCATGATGCGGGTGTATCTTAGAGGGTAACAGATTGCCACAAACCGGTCATAAGCCATGACTGCAAGCAGGACACAATCAGCTCCACCCAAGAAGATGAAGAAAAACATCTGGGTCCCACATCCAGGGATGGAAACAGGAGTTTTGCCCATTGAAAGGAGGTTTGCCAAGGCCAGGGGGGCAATGGCAGATGTATAGAAGATTTCCAGAACTGCCAGGTTAGCCAGGAAGAAGTACATGGGGATGTGGAGGGAGTGGTTGATTTGGACAAGGACTGCAACTGTGGTGTTTCCACTGAGGCTGGTCAGGTACATCACCAGGAAGGCCACAAAAATCCCCACCTGGATCTTAGGGTCAGCGGAGAATGGACGAAAGAAGAACTGAATATTTGCAGTTGTATTTATTTCTTCCATAGATAATGTATTTGATCTGGATAAAGGAAAGATGACATGCATCTTTAGGCACCTCCCATGCAATATGATGCATTTGTACTCCCCTGTTCAGTGTTAGAGCACTTTCTGAGGTACCTCAGCGATTATGTGCACACACTTTCATGTTAGTGCAGATCATGGAATATTATAATTTACACGTTTGCCACCCCTCACCTTTCCTCCTCTACCCTCAAGTACCAAAGCCCAAGAAATCCTCAGTGGTGGGGATCTGGATGCTCTTTGCTTTGATTTTGGTGCCTAGCACAGTGCCTGATATAGAAAGCTTTCCAAGGAGTATTTGCTGAATGAATTAATGAGTAAAGTCAATTTTTTTTTAAAGATTTTATTTATTTATCTGAGAGAGAGAATGAGAGGCAGAGAGCACGAGAGGGAAGAGGGTCAGAGGGAGAAGCAGACTCCCCGCCGAGCAGGGAGCCCGACGCGGGACTCGATCCCGGGACTCCAGGATCATGACCTGAGCCGAAGGCAGTCGCTTAACCAACTGAGCCACCCAGGCGCCCCGAGTAAAGTCAATTTAAAGTTCAAAGTTACAAAATAGATAAAATAGGGTTTTAATTCATTACGTGAAACTTGAAACAAAAACGTCTTAGGAAAGTGTCATTAGATATATGTTATAATTTTAAGAGAGCCGTGGTACTGGTACACTGATAATGCAACACACATCGCAATTTAGCTCAACCCCGAGAGATGTCATTGACTCATCCTGCTTCCTCTCCTTTACCCAATTTGTTCCTAAATACTGATCATTTGTCCTACAAAAATTTCTCATATCTATTGCTTTGGTCCTTTTCCACTGCCCCAGTCGGTCCTATCTGTTGTTATCTTACATTTAGGTTCTTTTTTTTTTTTTTTTAAAGATTTTATTTATTTATTTGAGAGAGAGAGAATGAGAGAGAGCAAGCACATGAGAGGGGGGAGGGTCAGAGGGAGAAGCAGACTCCCTGCCGAGCAGGGAGCCCGATGCGGGACTCGATCCAGGGACTCCAGGATCATGACCTGAGCTGAAGGCAGTCGCCCAACCAACTGAGCCACCCAGGCGCCCCCTTACATTTAGGTTCTTGTGATAACCTCCTATCTCTTCTCCTGTTTTCCTTCCTCTTTTCCTTCATCATGCATCCTGCTCTCCATGATCACATTATCCATCTGCTTCAGTGCCTTCCTGTTGCTTATATGACAATCTTCGTGCTCCTCTCCTGATTATTCCAGTCTCTCTTGGACCTGACTGAGGCTAATCACACTATGGCCCCAATTATCCCTGTCATGTACCATATGGTCGACTCATTGACCTCTTCTCCATCATTCTCCTTCCTGTTTCACATACTTCTGTTCTCCTTCCAGTGAGAAATTTCATCTTCTCTCTTTTGCCTAAGACAAATCCTGCCCAACTTTCAAATTCTAGGTCATGTTCCTCTTTTATGACGTCTTCCCAGGCCACTCCAGTTTAAATCTCTCTCTCCTTTCTCTGAAATTCTGTGTTGCTCAGAGTGTTATGATTTTATTTTTTTTATTTATTTTTTATTTTTTATCTTTTTTTAGATTTTATTTGAGAGAGAGAGAGACAGAGATAGTGAGAGAGAGAGCACAAGTGGGGAGGAGAGGGAGAAGCAGGCTCCCCACAGAGCAGGGAGCCCGATGCGGGACTCAATCCCAGGACCCTGGGATCATGACCTGAGCCGAAGGCAGACGCTTAACGACTGAGCCACCCAGGCGCCCCTTGACCACAGAGCTCTTATGCTTAATCTAGGTTCATACTATACCGCCTCCCTCGATACTGCTTCATATTTCCTAAGTAGCTTTGTTATTTGATGATATTTCAGCCATAGGTAGAACTCTAGATGGTCTATGGTAAAAAGAGCACCTAAGATCTGAGACCAAAAATGTTAGATTACACTATTTTCAGACTTGAGAGGCATAATTACGATCTAGACTATTGTTTTATCTAGTAAATGCTGCCCCTAACAATGCAACAAAAAGAATATCCCTTATTTCTTGTTTCTTGAAAGATTTATTTATTTATTTGAGAGAGAGAAAGAGAGAGAGAGAGTGAGAGAGCATGAGCGGGAAGGGCAGAGGGAGAGGGAGAGAGAATCTTAGCAGACTCCGTGCTGAGCATGGATCCCCATGCGGGGCTCTATCTCATGATCCTGAGATCGCGACCCTGAAGATCACGACCTGAGCTGAAACCAAGAGTTAGATGCTTAACTGACTGCACCACCTAGGTGCCCCTCCGTTCCTTCTTTTATAAGGAGCAGGGAGAAAGGGTTTGGTTAAAAACTATGATATTTGGGTGAAGATGGAGGGAGACTGGCTTAATTCATCCTTCATGAGAGAGAGCGGGAACAAAGAGAAGGTTCTCTGTGACCCAGGACCCAGTGTCCTGAGTGATGCCCAAAGAGTTTTCATAGGAGCCTACAGTTTTAATCTCCTGCTTTCTGGTGGCTAAGAGTCTAATCCCAAAACCAACACAGTTGTTTTGGGTTGAACCAAACCTATGAAGGTGATACAAATGAATAAGTCATTTCATAAGGACACTAGAGATGAAAAGTCCCAATGGTGCCGTCTGCTCATTTTTTTTTCTCAGTTACCACCTCCTTCGGCACAGGAAGTCCACCCAACCTCTTGGGCATAAGTCCACCTAACCTCAAAGCACTTGTGTCTAAATGCAGTGTGTGGGCTACATTGGCTTCATTTTATTACAAGGTCTAGAAAAGGGAAGAGGAAATCAAATGTAGAGAAATACTATGAAAACGAGGGTTCTGAATAAGAAATCCGAGTACCACATTATCCAGCATATTATCTAACTATTCTCTTCATTTCTTTATGGAAAAGTTCCCCACTCATTGTGATCTCTTCATTGCGACAAGATGAAGATATAAGTTAAGTTCTATCTGGAAGCTATATCAACTTTAGGTTATATCAAGTGCTTTTGTTATTGCAAAGAAGAAACCAAGTAGACACGTTTCAAAAGATGGTCTGGAGCTTTCAGATATTCCTTCTATATGATGTCAAAATATTGAAGCAAATGTTGGACATCGTGCAAACAAATAACTGAATGCTTTGCTGACAATTCTTTATATAAATCTGGAGTGATGGTGGTGGTTGTTTAGATCTGTTCATGCTTCCTAAACCAGAATGTGTATATTCTAGAGTCGTCAGGGAACAAAAGTGTGTCCAGGACAAAATGAAGTCCCAGGATCAACACAGTGCAGTTTTATTAAAAGGTCAATTTTAACTTGAAGGTTTTAGGAAAATTATTTCATATAAAAAAGTGGAGATATATACATAAGAGGAAGATCTGCATGAATTTGGGGGGATAAAAACATAATATTTCCAAGAGATTTCTTACTCCCGATTGTTCACCAAGTCCTTAATATAAATTGTCTCTCATGCTGATTAATTAGTACTTAAGTAGAAAAGTTTTAGATGTACTGATTTAGACCATGGATTGGCTATTACTCAATGAGAAATAATTTTCCAAACTTCCCAAATATACAATCCTGATTTGGATCAGCTCCTCCCTTATTATTCCAAAGAAAACAACTAAAGTAGTGGTCAACATTTTCTAAGATAAGTATGGCTCAGAGAAAACTCCCAGGGGATAGCTAGTCTTTGGAAAGATGGTTTATCATCTCCTGAGACTGTTTACCATCATGCAGTGAAGAACATGGCTCCATGAGTTCTTTGTCCTTCATGTAATTCCTGTCCAAGTTGACTAGTGGCTGCAGAAGGTCACAGATGCCCACAGAATCAGAGCTCCCCCAGGTTATTGGGTCCGTCTCTTCTAAAGAGATTGCCTGACTTGTCCAAGGTTGCACAAGTGGGTCATTTTTTAATTCATCATTTAAATATACAAGGTACTGTAGGGGATGCAAAGATGATTCAGATGCCATCTCCTCTGTGGAGTTGCAGGGACAAGGCTGTTGGCCAGATTTTCCCTTATTCTTGTTCTTTTTAAAACTCTTGAATCCTATCTTCCCTTGTCAGTTTTGCTCAATTTAAATTGTAGACAACATTTATAACAAGGGGAGAAAAGGTAGTTAAAAAGTGGTCTTTTAACTAAGTTTGGTTATACAACCAATCTTAGGACAATGCATATGTAAAAAAAGCATATAATTTGGGGGAGATGATGCTTCCAAGAAAGATGGTAGAAAGTAGGCTATGTTGGAATAAATGACGTGTACTCAAATTCCAGCTTTGCTACTCACTAGTTTTGTGATCTTGCTAAGTCACTTGCCCTCTCTAAGACCCCATTGTTCAGAATAACACCTCACTTCTTTACAAGGTTGTTGTGAGGTGAAAATGAAACAATGTCTGTACAAGAACCTACTGGAATGCCTGGCACATACTGACTGCTCAGTAAAGTATATTGATTCATTGATTCCTTCCATTATCTATCTTGAGACTGAAAAAGATTTAAATTGCTGAGTGGGTGGAATGCCTGGCAGGTCTACCTGATATTTTCTGGGAAAGATTTTATGTCACATCTGGTTCCACTTCTAGTTTCTTATGTCCCCTTATATTGCAGAATCCCTCTTTAAATAGAATGAAGAATGACCACTGTCTCATAGATTAGTTGTTACAGTTAAAAGAGAGTTTATATAAAAATGCCTTGACTTTAGGTATATCTGGCCTAATTGACCTACATGGCATATCTATTAGCACAAAGGTGGACTCACCTGAAGAGGAAGATAAAATCTTAACTTGGGAGTGTTGATAGTGGGAGGAATAGAGAAGGAAGAACAATGTTATAACCATCATTCTAGGGCAAAAGCCCTGTTTGGAGCACAGGTATTTGTGGCTTTTGGAGATACTCATACCAGCTGTAAGGTCTATTCATACCTATTCAAAGAAAATGTTCCAACATCAGCTGTATCCAAACAAAAGATGTATTTGTCCTTACAAGACATTCTTGAATAACATTTTCTGTATGTTTGAATATATATGAATTTCATACGTGAATT